CAAGGCAAGCTGCTGACCTAGTTGGATTTTCTTCCATAGTTTGTCATCTCTTCTTTATGGAGGAGGAGGCCAGGAAAAATGAGCTCTCTTTGAAGTCACAGACTACAACTCAAGTTTCTCAGCATATAAGCCAGCAATAGTCAGATACTAGCAGCCTATGTCTAAGTCATAAATCACAACAACTGTTACACAGGGCTACCACACCTAATTAAAGAAAATGTATTCACTGGAAAACAGATATGATAAAGTGAAATTTACATTTACCATACTTTCTTAAGTGGATTGCTTAAAAATGCAGCAATAAATAGTGAGTGCCTTGTTAGACTGGCTTTAAAAATTAAATATTAAGAGTACAGCTTTATTTGAGAAAGTATCGACCAAAAGATATATAATGAGTCAGTCCATCATCTTGCTTCTTTCTGTTCAGATCATTCATGAGGTAACAGGTAGCTTTACCAGGAGAACTCTAATTATTAGTGACTCAGACCGCTGTACCAATTTATGCTCTAATAAAACCAATTATTATTATTCCAAAAGCAACAGGATATTGCATAACCAGGCTGCAAAAATCTGTTGTCTCTCATTGCTATGACGTGGGGGTAAACAGTAGTAAGCACATCTAACTTGGTCTGAAATTTGCAAGAGTTGATTCAGCATGAGCTTCAATAGAACAATTATTTAAAGACTTAACCACTGACTCTTGATTCTTAAAAAAAATCTTATTTCTAAATCCCAAGAAATGGCATTTTCTGAGCTACTGGCATTGGGACAGCAGTCAGAACTGAACCAAACTAAACTTCACCACTGTAATCTCAAGATCAGTGCAGGAAAGTGACCTCATGGAAAGTTTTTTGTTTTTTTTTAAATGGACTCCTTGTCATCTGAATTTATTAATATTAGTGGCAGGGGCTGGGTGGCGTGGCTCACACCTGTAATCCCAGCACTTTGGGAGCCTGAAGCGGGAGGATCCCTGAGGTCAGGAGTTTCAGACCAGCCTGGCCAACATGGTGAAACCTCGTCTCTACTAAAAATACAAAAATTAGCTGGGCATGGTGGCGTGTGCCCGTAATGCCAGCTACTTGGGAGGCTGAGGCAGGAGAATCGTTTGCACCTGGGAGGCGGAGGTTGCAGTGAACTGAGATCATGCCAACTGCACTCCAGCTTGGGCGACAAGAGCAAAACTCTGTCTCACAAATGAAAAATAATAAAATAAAATAAAATAAATAAAATTAGTGGCAGGATACATCCTGGTAGATGGCATGTGTGCTTTGGATCCATGCAAGGGGAGATGAGTTCCTGATATATCAGAAGGACAGAAAATCATCCTATTACATAAACCAACAGCTCCGCTACAGAGGAACTCCACATGGCTGAGTGTTATCTACATTTTGATGCTGGTCCACAGTTCGCATTTACCCCACAGTTACCATATTTTAAGTAGGTCACGAGCACAGAGTCAGCTCAACCAGCAGTGAACATTTTGTTGCAAATCTTTTCCTGCTGGAGATAGTGATGCTGAAGAAGGTTGGGTGTTTCCACCAATTGAATGATTCTTGACATTCTTTGTATTTTAAAATCATGATTAAAAGTTCTATCTAGCCCATGAATAGTGGAGAAAAATATCTTACAAGTAAACAAAATGTACCAAGGAAACTTACCTCACTCCCCTGACAGAAGAGGCACTAAAATTCCACTCATGTATACCTTTCTAGAACAACAACAAGAAAAAATAGAGTCATCCAAATGGAAAATAACATAACAATAATTTTGTTTAATTATTTTTAAAGTGATATACAGAGTCATTTTTCCTGGGACACTATTTTTCATGAAAGAATTATCTGGATGGAAAGCACGATTCATTCTCAAGTCACAAGGGTAATGTTTACTCTACTTAATAATTTCTGTACTTCAATAAAACAGCTTCCAAAAGAGCCTAGGAGAATTAGTCTCATTAAGTTCTAAAACTTGATTCTAGTAATAACTGTTGTGTGTTAATTTTTAAGTAAAAAAACTCAATGATCAAGGTAATTCTATTAGTACAGTTGAGCAATATTTCTTTTCTGAGAAAGATAAACATTAATTTGAATAACATCTCGGCAAGGTTTTAAAGATAACTATTTCTGAATTACCTTTAGTTAAGATTTCCAACTAAACAGGTGGCTCTATGTCTTCAGAAAGTAGTAGAGCAACAATGTAGTGCCCATCATAACTACAAGGTATTGCTACCTAATTTATGCAAAATTTCATATGCTAATAAAGTTTGAACATAAAAAATTTGACTGTCATACTATAAACATGGGTGATTTGCAGAGCGAAGGTGAAGAAAAATGTGGGAATTTATTTCTTGAGTTTATTACTAAAGCTAAGATAAAATTATTATCAAATTCGTATGTCCCTAAATTAATTACAAAATGGATCATAATCCCTTTAAAAATGTGTGACAATATAAAATTAATAGCATAAATATTTTTACAGAAATAAAGTAGTTTATCCATGTGTCTAAATTGAGCAAGTACAGTACAGCAATAAACTGACACTGGAATTCAATTCTATAAATTTAAAACAACCAGGAAAAGGAGTTCTTACCCACCCACTGCCAGGAGGCTGAGGTCTGGCCTGGGTTAATGAAATGGGTGGCAAAGCCTTGTGGCTCTGAGGTGGCCTAGAACCCTCCTTTTGGCCAAAGCAACTCAAAAGCCACAATTTATATCTACAGCCCATAATTCTTTGCTAGGTCCATGCAACTTAAAATAAAAATAGATCCTCTCAAGTCAGATGTGAATTTACTAAAAAGCTAGTTTCAGTGCATATCAGTCAGGTCACGGGAATGTGACCTGAATGAACACAGAGCAAATTTTGTTGCATGAAGTCCAGGAGGGAAGATGCCATAAAAAGGTACTCATGGCATGTGGTGGCTCTCTTAACCAGAGTACAGAGGGAGTGAAATTAAAATAGCAGCCTCCAGCTTCAGCTGGTAATTTGGAAAGTTGCTTCTAAATCCTGTTGGCCTCAGGTGAACTTCTAAATATATATATGACCCAGGAGCTGCAGCCGTTACCTGTACACTACTTGCGTGCAATGCAGCCTTATCCTCAGAGCCTGCAGCTGAGCTGCTTTCCAAGACCATGTCCAGGAGCAGGAGGTGGGAAGCAAGTGTAGGGCTGAAGCAGTATGCAAACCCGCCCCTGAACACAGCAACCGGCAAATACTAACAAGACAGCACTGGTAAAACGCATCTTCTATCAATCCTTTTCTGGGAACAGCTAAGTAGAAATTTTGGACTGGTTTCGTAGGAAAGGAGTGGAGTATTTCCAGAATGCTTGGTTCCTGAAAAGTTGCCAGTGCTGCCAGGGAACGTTCCATTTCAGTGATGTAAATAAAGCCCAAGCCCTGAGATGGAAGGTGGAAGGCGGCCTCCCTCCCCACCTACCTGTAGAACCCACCACAAGGAGGCGCTGATGAGCTACAAAGCCAACAGGTAGTTTAAAGGCTCCTGGGACCTGTCTGGGAATTAGGGAAGAGCGGGTCCAAAGGCAGCGCTAGCGATAATTAGCCCCAGCAGGCAAACCAACACTCAACCTAATTTAATCAGCACAAGCACCATTTTCTAGGAACGGGTTAGCTGCAGATCCCAGGCCCCAGTTAGGGCTAGAATAGGAGCTGGAAGTTAATGCCATATTGACTGAAAGTGGCAGGAGTTATACTGTAGTAAGCACTGTCGGCTCCCTCAGCAACTGTCATTCCCTCCTTCTCCTCTGCTGACAAAAAATAAATTTTTCCCAGGTTCAGGTGGCAATGTTTATGAATGGTGAAATCGGTAAGTCTAAATTGGCCATGGCAAGTTCATTTGCCTTGCTGGGGATAGGTGTAAGCATGGTCATGTGATACAACTTATGGTATAAAGGAGAGCGCTTGGCCCTCCTCCCCAGGACGCCGCCTGTGTGAAGTGCTTCTTGGAATAGCTAGCTACTTAAGAACATGAGAGGAACACCAAGAGTATGCAGAGAAGCCAGAATTCTGAATTCTGATGCTGAAATTACCCTCAGAATCACCCCACCTCAAAATTTATTTTTTTTCGTCCAGGCTGGAGTGTAGTGGTGTAATCATAGCTCACTGCGGCCTGGATCTCCCAGGTTCAAGCGATCCTCCTGCCTCAGCCTCCCAAGTAGCTGGGACTTACAGGCAGACATCACCAAACCTGGTTATTTTTTAAAATTGTTTTTGTAGAGATGGGGGTCTTGCTACGTTGCTCAGGCTGGTCTTGAACTCCTGGCCTCAAGCAATCCTCCTGCTCTGGCCTCCCAAAGTGCTGGGATTATAGATGTGAGTCACCATGCTCAGCCTATAATTTCTTGTAATATGAAATACCATTTATTTAAGCTGCTTTCAGCAGGGAGTTTTTAGCAGAAAGCATCCTTGGTGGATGAGAGCATCAAATCATCTTAATCTAGAATCTGGGGTAAGCATGTTTCCCTCATAAATTTCCTGGGCCTTCTGTGAGTGGCCACTGGCTGGAGCTGGAGTGAGGGAGGAGAATCAGCACTTAATCTTCCACTAGGCCCCTGCCTTTGCTTGATAATCCATGAGATAGGCCAAGGGTGCCCAAACTTCAACCCCCAAAAGGGGGGGAAATTCTAAATAACCATTTAAAACGTCCTGCAAATAACTTCTCTCTTCCTCAATCTAAGTTTTTCTTTCATTGTACACATTCAGACTTTCTTCAAGGACTAACTTACTTTTTAGCAGCAGCCATTCATTCAACCAAGAGAGAACTGTTAAAAGATCGGGATTTCAATTAATTTTACCCCTGAAGGTAGAGCAGCTCTCTAAGAGTGCCTGGGAATTGGTATATAATGTGCTTAAAGTTTTGAAAGTTGCAGTATATATATATACTAGCTCACAGAGCTATTTATTCCATATTTTAGAATAAAAATAGAGAAGGAGTGACTAAAGAAATAAACATGATAAATGAAAAGCTACAGTCTCTATTCTAATTTTAGGAAAAAATTTTAAACATTCTATGATAAAAGCAACCGATGTTTAGTTTAACATAAGACCTATTAAACTGGTTGCTTCTCTGTTAGCTATGGATGTTTTAAAGTAACATGGTAATAATAAAGTTTTTTTGTTTTTATTGCTTGTCCTCCTTCCAATTTTACTTTTATTTTTAAAAATTGAGAAAATGGTAGTGATAATGAATACACTATGGTTAGAATCAGGGTTTGCAAAGAAATTGGCATAAATTCAGAATGGAAACTGATACAAGAAAGCTTCAACTTTTGAACAAGGAGAATTTTTAGCACTAAAAGTTATAGGAAATAAGGACAACATAAATATAATTCTTCCTGATCAAAAGATGGTGAAAATGGAAAATGGACAGTATACAACTTAAATTTGTAACCCTATTTCATGCACTTGTTTATATCCTAATATATATCCTAATATTTCTTAGCATAATGTAAAAATTGTCTCTGTAATTGTCACAAAACATAAGAGAATTAATACGAGGCTCACTTTACTGAGCAAAGAACCTCTAGGAAGGAGAAAACAATAACAAATAGCTGGAAATAGTACTCATTTTCCAAAAATCTCTGGCTTACTTTCTGTTCTTTTTCTGTCTTCCAAATTCTTCTGGCTCTCTACTCATTCTCCAGGCCTTGCTAATCGCTAATTCCTTTAGCCTCACTCTGTTTCCAAGTGTCCTTGGATAACCTTGCTCTTTTCAATCAAGCCTTTGAAAATCTCCTCCTCCAGTCCTGCTCTCGTCTCCATAATGTTCATGTCTCCTAACTTCTCTTAGTTTTTGTAGTTTCCACTGGATGATTACTGTAGCTCAGTTTGTGAGAACATGTATGTATATACTTGCATACATACAAAACAATATAAATATTGCACTGCACTGTAAAGCAATATCACTAACATGTATATAGACAGTTATATTGATTATTCCCAATTTTGCCACTGGATGATTCCATTTGGAGTCTTGCCATCAGTTTCAACTAAACACGTCCAAAATGAAATTCCTCATGATTCCTCTACAACTCAGGTTTTCCTTCTAAGAATCCTACCACCTTTATCAATGCAATCAAAACTTGAGTCACCTTATACCTATTCCCTCTTTTTAACCCTTCTTCCTAATTCGTGATTAAGTCGTATACTTTTCTTTCCAAATCATCCATCCCTTTGCAGTCACAATTGTATTATTCCACTCTAGGATCTCTACCTGCCTCATATCTAGCTAGTTCCTCTACTAGTCTTCTCTGTGACCCTCCAGAGCCTCAGACTTCAGAAATCAAATGTCAAGACCAGATCAATTTTATAGCTACACTAGCAACCATTATGGAGCACTTGTTCCAAGCCACTTAGCACTGTGCTACATGATTTCCATTCATCCTCTCATTTAATCTTCACAACAATTCTATGAGGTACTATTATTCTCATTTTACATATATGGCAACTAAAGCATGAGGAGTTGAAGTGGATGCCTAGGCCACGAAGCATGCAAGAGGTAACGTCAACCTTCACACCTATGCACTTTGATGCTGACCCTGGGTTCATAATTCATATTCTGTTCTGCCTTCATGCCAGCTCTCAGATTTTCAGAAACGTGAGTGACGTCCTGTTTCCTACTGACTATTCGTAGAGTGTCTCTAAAATTCAGATGCAGCCAGTTCCACACTGACTTGTAAAAGTGTCAGCTAGGACAGTGTTTCACAAACTGGGATTGGAGAAAGACCACAGTTCTGAAAGATGCTCCTCAGTATTTCTCAGTGCTACTAGATGGACTCGGTGTTGAGAACGTAAGAATGGATGGTTTTCTCCAAGCTTATTATGTAATTTCACGTTGCGAACATTTAGTGTGCCTGCTAAAATACTAAGTTACAAGACTTAACATGACCAACTGTATCTAAATATAGAACAAATTAAAATATAAATAACATGCATTCTGGGTGCTGCTTAGTATCTATTCATTTTAAACACAAGACACTGCCCTTCCTAGAAACTACAGCACTGGGACCAGTGATTTCTTGCCACTCTGATAGAGGTCACAGGGCCTGGCCATGATTGACATCCAGGAAGGATCTGTCCCAGCTGACTTGGACATATCAGAGCATGGGACATTCTTCTTGCTAGATTATGGACATGCTGTGTTGTTTTCCTGTTGAACTTCCTAAGGTGGTGGTTCACACATGTGAGATCTGAGTCTACCTCATAGAATTGTCCTCAGTAGGTCTGACATGCAGATTAGGAATCTGCAATTTATTTTATTTTATTTATTTTTTGAGACAGAGTCTTGCTCTGTCACCCGGGCCAGAGTTCAGTGGCACAATCTTGGCTCACTGCAACCTTTGCCTCCCAGGTTCCAGTAATTCTCCTGCCTCAGTCTCCTAAGTAGCTGGGATTACAGGTGTGTGCCACCACGCCCAGCCAATTTTTGTATTTGTAGTAGAAATAGGGTTTCACCATGTTGGCCAGGCTGATCTCGATCTCCTGACCTCAAGTAATCTGCCCACCTCAGCCTCCCAAACTGCTGGGATTATAGGCGTGAGCCACTGTGCCCAGCTGGAATCTGCCATTTAATTAAACCAGCTCCCTGGGTGACTCCAATGCTGGTGTTCCAGGGAACCACATCTTGAAAAGCACCATCCCCAGGAACCAGCTTAGCCATAAAGTCAAAGATGTAATAATTCTTGAGCTACTACAATTGAGTAATTTAGTATGTTTATATCCCTATTAAAGTTGTTATCAACCATGGCTACACATCAGAATCATGGATAAATCTTCATAAAAATGCATGTGTCCAAGCTTCACTCTAAGTATAAAGGATTCCAACTCAGTCGGTCTCCTGAGATCCAGGGTATTGCAGATAATTCTGATGCAGAGCCAGGTTTGTGTACCAGTTCAACACCAACAACCTCCCAAATGATTACTGCCATGCCATTTAAAGAGCAAAGCAGGGTTAAACTCTGGGGTTTCAAAGTTAGGATTTAGTCCATATAATATGTACACTGCAGTCATTTATAATTGTTTTTGTTGTTATTGTAGTTAAGACATTGAACATTTATTATATACCAGGCTCTGTGAAATGCACTCTACCAAATTATTTCATTTAACCTTCACAACAACCTTTTGAGGTGGACATTATTACCTCATTCTACAGATGAGGACACCATAGCTTGGAGAAGACAAGTTGCCCAAGAGCAGTGGTAGGATTTGAATCCAGGTCTATTGATTCAAGTCCACATGTAAAAAACTGCAAGCCCATACTCCCAAATTTACTTCCTGATTCCACTTTCTGCTTTATTTTTCCCTCTTCACCATTGAATATACCTATACATTTATTTATTGGTTTATTGCCCTCTCTGAGTGGAAAGCAAGTACCACGAAGGCAGGAATTTCACTCATTTTGGACACAGCTGCTTCCCCTAGGGTCTAACACCATGTCTGGTAGTGCCTGTCCAGAGTAAGTGCTCAATAAATATTTATTAAATGAGTAAGTTGATGAATGATGGCTAAATAAAATTATAAAGGCATTCTGAGAAACAGTTACGAGAAAGAAAATAAATTAACAATCTTTCCACAAGACTTCTCTCATATCTGTTGGTTTATCCTGTGGACTGAAGCCAGGTCCTGAAAATGTCTGTTTTTAAAAAATAGTAGGATGATTTGTACATGCATTAAAACTGATGAATATAGAAGTGGAAAGGCTTATCCACGTGACTGCTATGAACGGAAGTGAGACTGTTTTAAGATCCTTCTCAAAATAGGTGGTCGCACAGCCCACCTCACTTTGTGCACAGCACACACTGAGTCAGTGGCTAATCTGAGATTTAGCAACTACTTAGATAACAAAACAGCTAGATGTAATGATAACTATAATGGTACCAGCGTAAGATTAAAAGTGGCATCATTCTGACAGGCTTCCTAAAATTAACATATGCATCTTTTATGTCATGCATTTTAAGTATTAGTTCTTTGGTGCATAACTTACAGCATGAATTTACAAAAGAGAAATATTCCAATTCTGAGTATGCTTTGGATGGTTATGCCATCTATAATAAAAATCCAAATAGTTCAATTATATTTTATTAATATTGATGAAAATTCATAATTCAAATTTAAGTTTTATAATACAGAATGCATTTATGCCAAGACAGACACACAGCTGAGCTATTTCTTCTTAACACAGACATTTGCTGGAGTATATAAATGCTAGAAGAGGCCGGGCGCGGTGGCTCAAGCCTGTAATCCCAGCACTTTGGGAGGCCGAGACGGGCGGATCACGAGGTCAGGAGATCGAGACCATCCTGGCTAACACGGTGAAACCCCGTCTCTACTAAAAAATACAAAAAACTAGCCGGGCGAGGTGACGGGCGCCTGTAGTCCCAGCTACTCCGGAGGCTGAGGCAGGAGAATGGCGTGAACTCGGGAGGCGGAGCTTGCAGTGAGCTGAGATCCAGCCACTGCACTCCAGCCTGGGTGACAGAGCGAGACTCCATCTCAAAAACAAAACAAAAAAACAAACAAACAAAAAATGCTAGAAGGGGGTAAAGTCCTTTGTTACTAATTCTCTTGTGTTAATAATTGCACAATTTACCTTGTCATCAGGAAGCACGTGCCAAATAGAGATTGTCTTTTCCTCAACTTCATTGTTGATAGACAAATAAGAAGGCTGATAGATTTTGGTTGGTTCTAATATTAATACCTTGAAAAGATAAGGCAAAGAAACTAATATCAGTGACTTAAGATTGAAACCACTTAGAGCTGCTGTAACACCCCACCACCAACGTAGAGGATTATTGGATGAGCTTCTGAGTCTGTTGCCGGAGTAAACCATTTCAACTTCTGATTGCTGTTATTCCTATAAATCCTTCAAGCATTTTACAGTATTTATCAATTATCATAACGTTCAATAATGCATCACCTTGCATTGCTAATAAACTTAGAAATACATTTTTGAAGTCCATATATGGGCTCAGCTATCCTCAGGGAATCTACTAGCGATAACTTTTAAAAATCTTCTATTTTATCATGTACTACATAAGCTATTTCTATAAATATAAACGTGTCAAAGAAAGACAGAAAAGGTCCATACATAGAACGTCACATCCTTATTTTAGTTTTCTGCTATCACACTTTATCATACAGATGTAGTAGTATGGTTTTCATACCCATGTAAATAAATTTAGAAATGGTTTTAGTTATTCCTGAGTTTTATATATAAACCAAAGAAACAAACTTAGCCATATGAAATAATAAACACGTTTTTGCACTGCCTTCCAGATGAAACTGGCATCTTCAATAATGATATATTTAGCCTTGTAAGAGAAAAACAGAAATAAAATTTGTTCCTATTTTGAAGCTCTATGAGGGGTATGTGATAAATGAGTTGAGAATCTCCATCAAAGGACTGTATGAAGTATTATATTATTACTAATGTCTCACATTTGGAGTGAAGAGTACTAAAATAATACACATGCCCTGGTTTCAAAGGTGTGATGATTCATTATCTACTTGTACAGATGCTTAAAGGCATCTTCCTGGCCCAAATTTCCTAGGCAGACTTCACTAGGAAGGTTTAAAAAAAGAAAAGTCAATACTTAACTATTAGAGAAACTGGAATAGTCTTTCTACTCTACTGCTTAACATTCAAGAAAATTACCTTTAGAACTAATCTTGAATCAAGCAAGTTTTCCAAATAAAAGTGGAGGAAAACTCCTTCAGAAGGCACCATCCGTAAAGAATTACAAATTCATAATACAGTAAAACAACCCTCAGAAAGAAGGCAAAAGAATCTGGGCGTATTTGTTTTACTCCAAACTTATCCTAACAGTGTGTTTACTTAAGGTACAGGGAACTAGAGAAAGGGAGGTCGAAAAAACAATTTTTCTTTACTCTTTGAATATTAAAAATGTTAAGGGCTCAAAGAATTCTCAGTCAGGCTCTAGCTGTGAAAATAAGATGGGCTATACCATAAAAAAACACACGGTGAGAGCCCATAAGGGAACATATTCGGACTAAGGAACAAACTCGCCCAGTGAATCAAAATCTTAATTCCAATCAACAGAGACATAAGTGGTAATGATGAATAATAAAAATCATTTTCCCATCTAAACTTTGCAGAAATGGTGCTCTCATATGTAAGTATCGCAATGTATATGAAATCAAAATAATAGAGAATAAAAGGTGGGTTTCCCAAAACATCATCCAACTCTCTTCATTGACAAGTGAGAATATACCCCGTTCCCAAATTATGTGGGCACACTATTATATTCAACAGAAGAAAAGAAAAGCACCAGCTCCTCTCTTGTTAAATTATGTCTTTATTGTCATCTTGATATTTCTAACAGATAAAATCTGGACTATGTGTGACTAACTTGAGACAGGAAATAAAAACAAGGTTGTAACTATCACTGTCTTAATATTTGTTGAACTCTTTGCTCTATCCTTGAAATGACAAAATGTGAGAAATGCATAGCATACATTATAGAGGTCACAGAAAGGCTGGGAAACAGACCAGGGAATGGAGGCAATTTGATAATGCCTTAAAGCTAGATATACCTCACTTATTAGTTTATACGTTCTTGCTTTTAGTTTCTTGTTTTTAGGTTAATATTATAATTAACTGCTAATTTCATGTATCTGAATCAAAAAGGAAAACTGCAAGGCCTATAAAGAATAGATATTAACCAGATGTTTAAATTTCTACAGGGTCTTTGAAGTACCATACTTCTCTCCTTCCTCTCTCCTGACATTAGATAATGAGTTGATGGTCTCCAAACTTTTCAATGTAAGAAGGAAAGAAAATATATCAAGAGGAGAGCTAAGAAAAAAGAATAAATTAAAGTGATAAATGATGGTACCATTTAAATCATTTGCCAAGTAAACTTTCAACTTTCTTTTGCCCAGAGTCACAGTTAATTCTTGGAGAAATGAGAATGAATACAGTATTGAGATAAATAAAAGCAATCAAATAATATTTTCTAAAATAGGCCATCCTGGATTTTATTAGATCATTTCAAAAGAAGGATAATGTTATCATCCTAATCAACACCTACTGCAACCTTTGTAGTGTGAGCCACGGAAGATGCTATGCTGAGGATACGACAAGTTGCAGTGACCAAGATCACCCTACAGGTACTAAAAGGCTGCATTTCTCTATGAGGGAGAGCACTGGTGGCAAATTCCAGAAGTGGTTACAACTTATTACCCAAATACTGGTCCTGTTTTTCTGCTATGCTATCATGTATATTGAGATTTAAAAATCATCTCTATGGCTTCCATTATTTTTTAAAGCAATATCTTTACAGTTTCTTCAGTGCTTCATCATACATGTAAATATAAGAAAACAATCAAGTGGTTAATCCTAAAGCAATTTCCATTAAATTTGGAGCTTCTTGGGAGACTGGCATGTTCTGGAACTCACACAGGTGAAGTCGTTGTAGGAAAACTCAACTTAAGAAGAACTACAAAATTGTACAATTTTGTCCTCTGTGTAACAACAAACTATGGAAAAGAAATTTTGAGTACCTGAGTTATGAATTCTGATGTAGTAGTAGTATTTAGAGATGAGTGGGAAAACACTGCATTTTAGAGTCTTGTCAGAACAAGACAGACCCCAAATAAGCCACAAAGTTTCAAGAAGGAAATGGATTGCTGAGAAAAATCAAATATGCCATAAATATGTTGGCACAGTAACACCTATGTGCCTACCACTGGCAGATAACTAAGTGTTAACAGGCTGTCATATTTGCTTCAAAATGTTTTCTAAGGAAATGAAATGTTGCAAATAAAGTTGAGGTCCTCAGGATCCCTTACACAATTATATCATCTCCTTCCCAGATAAAATCCCAGAATATTCAGCAATTCCCATGCCCACCAGCAGGCTCTAAACATGCTCTTGTCTCCACAATGGTGTCAACTGTTGTAAAATGTTTTAATTCTTTGAGTCCAATGGGCAAAAAATATAGTGTGTCATTTAATTTGCATTTTCTTGACTAACCAGAAGTTAATTATCTCTTCATATAATTTTTTTCTTCTTTTATTTATTTATTTATTTATTTGAGATGGAGTTTTGCTCTTGTTGCCCAGGCTGGAGTGCAATGGCATGGTCTCGGCTCACAACCTCTGCCTCCCAGGTTCAAGTGATTCTCCTGCCTCAGCCTCCTGAGTAGCTGGGATTACAGGCATGAGCCACCATGCCTGGCTAATTTTGTATTTTGAGTAGAGAGAGGGTTTCTCCATGTTGGTCAGGCTGGTCTCAAACTCCCAACCTCAGGTGATCCACCCACCTCGGCCTCCCAAAGCGCTGGGATTATAGGCGTAAGCCACCACACCCGGCCTCTTCTTATTTTATATTGCTTATCACTTTATACAGGATTTTTTTGCATATTAGGTAAATTGACCATTTTACACAGTTTTATAAAACATTTTCTCCCTGCCTAGCAGTTTCTATTTGGCATGTTCACAGTGTTTTTTTTTTTTTCTTTTTTAATCAAACAAAAATATTCATTTTTTTAGTGAAATCAAATTGGTGAATATTTTCCTTTGGGACTTATAAGTCCCTTTCTTGCTTAAGGATGCCTCTCTCAACTGGTGTTTATACCTATATTCTCCTAACTTCTCACTTAATATTTTCCGATTTGTTTTTTATATTCACTTATTTATATTTATATTATGACAGACAACTGTCTAATATATTTTATATTCACTTATATTTATATTATGACAGACAAATTCATACGAAAATAATCTAAGTGGGCTCAAAGTGACTAATTTGAATGGTTTCCTTTCATAGCCAATTTTCTAGTCGATCAAGTCAACAGTCAATTAAATACCTGAATTCTACATTCTCTTCTTTGACTACATTTACTGCTACTGAGAGCAGCAGCTAGAGGCACGCTGCCAGCTCATTCTAAGGTAAGTATTTTCCTAGGCTACACATTATCTAGGCTAGAAAATGAAGTGTTTCAGTTAGAAAGGCTTTCAATTAAAGACCCTGCTGAGCTCAAGGCTTCATCTGGAAGCAAGAGTAAAGCATGCTCATGTGAGCAATGGATTTAATTAAGTGAAGTAGATGATCCTATCAACAAGAACTAGAAAACTAGATTTTGCAAAAAGAATTGAGAACTGTCACCACCTCTGAGTATGGAAGATAGAGATCAGAGAGCTCAAAGAGATTTATGGCATCACTTTGACGTGGAAAGAAATTTGTACATACAGCAAGTTACCAATAATTCTTGAATTGGATGCTGGACGATATTAAGAACTATCAGAAGAGGCATGGCACCATCTGAGAAGAGCAATAGGTGGTGTGTGTGTGTGTGTGTGTGTGTGTGTGTGAGAGATACATTTAAATCTGTGTATCTGAAGTCCACTGGAGACCAGTCAAAATGAGTTGCAGACCAGAAACTGCAAGTCATTATTTCCCATGGTCTAAAACGTTGTAAATAGTGATTGGGGATATTACATCTAACTCTGACCCACCTGGGTAACGGGTGGTGGGGATGGGATAACAATGCAGGTGAGCCTGATACTTTTCACCACAATACGGGAAATAATACTGAAGACCATGTCAACGCAACTGCAGTATTAAGGAAAAGCATCCATTGGGCTGGCCTGAAGCTAAGCCAAGAGACAATCTTTGCATTGCTTAGGAAGTACACTTCACCACTTATCAAAAGGAACCACCCAAATTCCATGGCAAAAACATAAAAATAGATCTCGTTTCTGATTTTGAGAAGTTATTTTTAAAAGTAAGCTAAAGCAAACCCATGTGCAGGAAATAAAGATATTAACCAGACGACTGCAGTTTTAGGGCACAAAAATCAGCCCCCAAGCACTGTTACAATCACAGCACAAGATGTTCTTTAAATAAAGAAATGCACTTAGATTTAAAGGAAGAGTACTCACTGGAAACCTAACCACAGTAACATCTGTCTTTGTGGCCTCGACCAGGAAATCCATCCAAAAGTCCACAAGTTCTTGCTTGGCCACAGGCTGTTCTGTGGTCAGTTTCACAAAATGCTTATATATCAAAATTGTCTCTACAATAGACTTGAGGTACCTGAGAAGTAAAAGATATAAAACACATAACAGACAAATTTAGAACCACCTGTTCCCATGTATCCCAGTCTAATTCTGTAAATGTAATTTATATATGACATTAATAGTTATGCATTCAGATTCACCAAACGCTATTCGTTATTTATTACGTATCACGTACTTTCACACTTTCTTTTTTTTTTTTTTTGAGAAAGAGTCTCGCCCTGTCACCCAGACTGGAGTGCAGCGGCGCAATCTTGGCTCATTGCAAACTCCGCCTCCCAGGTTCATGCCATTCTCCTGCCTCGGCCTCCTGAGTAGCTGGGATCACAGGCGTGTACCGCCACACCTGGCTACATTTTATATTTTTAGTAGAGATGGAGTTTCACCATGTTGGCCAGTCTGATCTCAAACTCCTGACCTCAATCTGCCTGCCTCGGCCTCCCAACGTGCTGGGATTACAGGCGTGAGCCACCGCGCCCGGCCATGCTTTCACACATTATCTCATTTCTATCTCACAAAAACTCAATAACGTTGGTTATTTTATCCCTATTTTAGAGATGAGGAAGCAGGCTTAGAGGGCTTGGTAACTTGGACTAGGGCCATACATCTAGTTAAAACATGAATTTTAAAATGCCTATATTCTATTCAAGGAAGTGGTTAATGCATTTGTTTTTAATTACGCTTCTTTGAGGAAGCTTTCTTAAATAGACACTTCATAAGGATCATTATTTAGCTCTGAGGCAACTCAGCTTATATATTATACGAATACCCTCAAACCTAATAAGACAGATGGTGCCTCAAAAGAAAAAGTTAGGAAAAATGAGGAGTGGGATAATTATAGGTGATAATGGCTATGCAGGCGCTTTATGGACTATAAAAATGGAAGTTAACATTCCATAAAACTTAAGTTAGTAAACCTTAAGGCACTGTTTTGTGGCTTTGAGTACCATTGCAGAGAATAGTGCCTGTTTTCTTGCTAACAGAACCAGGATGCCTAAAATACTGCCATCAGAATGGTCATTGTAAAGAAATAGCAAATGTGACTCAATATCATGCATGCATCTATTGGTTCCTTTATTTCGTATCATTTGCTGAATGCCTACTGCTGCACACAGTGCTGTGGGGATAAATATCAAAAGATGTTATAACACCAAGAATAAATATCCATGGAGATATGATTAAACAGAGAGACAACTTAAAAAGCCATACACTAAGAGAGTATTAAGAGAGGCATAACTAAAGAATGACAGAAACACTAAAGAAGGGACTTGGGTGTGAGGAAGGGCTCTAGGTCAAGGTCAGCTTTATGAGCAGGTGTGATGGATGAGTGTTCCCCGGAGAATGTGTGCATTGTGAGAGGCATGCTCAGCACATGCTCAGACACTCATGCATGAAACCGGCAGTGTGGTATGAAGAGACAGCAGTGTAAACCCAGGGGTGTGACAAGAGCTGAGGCTGGAATGGCTAAAGGCAAATCTTGTTTGCTAAGACAAAATGACGGACTTTATCCCTTAGGCTGTGAGGAACAATTAAACTATACCGATTTAAGGATTTCAGTGCAGGGAAAGTGTCAGGTGTGCATTTTTGAAAGATCACTGTGATCTTTAGAAAGATCCCTGGGGAGGACTGGCTAAAGGAGACCTGAACATGAGGAAAATTCTTTAAAAAGTCATGAGGGTCTAACTTGGTGGTCTCTTCTTCACACGGAGTCAGCGGCCTGGGCTCTGAGCAGCTCTGGAAAGAGGCTTTCACTATATCATGGTTAGCCTTTTAAAGTCTTTATAGCTAATGGTTAATCGCTACATGTGATACTAATAAAAATTCTTTTTCTTTTTCCTTTTTTTCTTTTTCTTTTTCTTTTCTTTTTTCTTTTGAGACAGAGTCTCACCCTGTCACCCAGGTTGATGTGCAGTGGCGCGATCTCGGCTCACTGCAACCTCCGCCTCCTCGGTTCAAGTGATTCTCCTGCCTCAGCCTCCCAAGTAGCTGGGATTACAGGCATCCGTGACCATGCCCAGCTAATTTTTGTATTTTTAGTAGAGACAGGGTTTCACCCAGTTGTCCAGGCTGGTCTCGAACTCCTGACCTTAAGTGATCTGTCCACCTCGGCCTCCCAAAGTGCTGGGATTACAGGTGTGAGCCACCACGCCCAGCCAACATTGTTTTTCAAAGTGGTCCTGAATGCAGATGAAATTTTGTTTCCACTTCTCCAATTACCACATAGATAAGGATGAGATGTGGGTGTACTCCAAGAACAATTTGAAATTAGAAAAACATACATATATAGGAAATACTCAAATGCGTCAGTCAAATCCTAAGTAAGAAGAAAAGAAAAATCAAGAATGAGAATTCCGAAACTGAGATTAGATCACAGAGGAAACAAAGGGCATATGTTTGGAGTAGAGGTCTAACAGCTGTAATGGAAATGTGGTCTCAGGCTCCGAACAGAAGCTATATTTGCAGGTGCAAAATGCGTGACCTCTGCATGATTCACATGGGTGATACTGGCCAACCTGGGTCGGTGGGTTGGTCAATGTGCAGGAAAGGCAAAGTCAGGAACCTGCTGACATCACCTATGTCCAAAGTCATCAGAATTTATGTGTAACACATTTTATGAATATCACAATTTTCCTCTATATTCTGCATTTTATTTTATAAGCAAATAAAATCATCTAATTGTCAGTTCAGTAAATACAATATGGGAACAATATGGAGCTGTTTATTAAAAATAATTGTATCAACATATAATAGCTAATTATTACCACGCTGGTGTCTTCAGTTTAAAAAGCTTTTCAGATGCTTGAATGACTCTCATGTGGTCATTGGCTAGGACACTGGCCCCCAGAAAAAATCCAACTTCCCAGTAGCTCTGGAGTTTCTCCAAGTTTCCCTTTTTACCAAGAAGACTACTTAGCTTCACCCCTAGAATACAAACAGGAAGTAGAATGTTACAAACACACCCCAGACAGGTAGAACCAGGTTTTCACTAAAAAGTAAAATGAAGCTTTCATTCCTCTCTTCAGATTAAAACAGCTTTGTTAAGTTTCTGATTATTAAGGTGGTTTCAGTTCACCATAAAAATAAGTCATAAAAAGGAATGGAACACTGATACATACAATCACACCACAGATGAACTTGGAAAACATGCTAAATTAAATAAGCCAGACACAAAAAGACAAATGTTGAGTGATTCCACTCACAAGCGGTACCTGTAACAGTCAAATTCCTAAACGTGGAAAGCAGAATAGAGTTTAGTAGGGACTGGGGGAAGAAGGGAATGAGGAGTGATAGTTTAATGGGTACAGAGTTTTAATTTGAAAAGATAAAAAAGTTTGGGAGGTAAATAGTGGCGTTGGCTGCATAACAGTGTGAATGTTCTTAATGCCACTGAAGCGTGCACTTCAAATTTTCAAATGGAAATTTTTGTTATGTACATTTTATCACAATAAAAGCTTGGGTGAAAAAACAACAGTAAGTCAGACTAAGCAGAAAGGTACACAGAAGGAAGTGAAAATTAACTTTTAATTTGAAAACCCAAGGAAAACTGCTATGGTCACTTTAATGTACATAAATCTAGAATTTGTATATATGTCAGTATATGCACAAATTAAAAGGCAATAATACAAACATTGTTATGTAACCTTCTTCTTTGTCTTTTTATAACATGAATTCTTAAATAACTTAAAAGGGAAATCTCACATTTTTTATGCTGAAATTCTATCAGTTGAAGTATAAATGTATACAGTATATATATTTTGCAAGAGTAAAATGCTATAATAATTTTAGACACAAAAAGTTACACACCTAAAACATAAAAGAAATAAGGAAATATGCTGGACACGGTGGCTCACACCTGTAACCCCAGCACTTTGGAGGGCCGAGGTGGGAGGATTGCTTGAGCCCAGAGGCACTAGACCGGCCTGGGCAACACAGCAAGATTCTGTCTCATGAAAAAAAATTTAAAAATCTAAAAAAAAAAAGAAAAAACAGAAAAAAAAGGAAATAGACTGACAGATAATACTGTCTTGTTATGTCACTGTCTTAAAAGTCCTGAAATCCAGTAATATAAATACTCCAACTTTGTTCTTTTTCAACACTGTTTTGGCACTTCTACGTTCTTAATGTTTCATCATATATTTTCTATTCTACTGTGTCCTGTATTATTTTTGCATTTTATAAGTATTTGTTTGCTTAAAAAGAATATGTCCTTGTAGCATTGTTTGGTGCCACTAACATCCACCATATTAAATTGTTGGGAAAATTATCTGAGATTTAGGAATAAGGCAAAAAGGTAGGACATATCATTTCCATATCATATGGGAGGATAAGGCCACTCAAGGACTGTCTCGGGCAAGCGAAGCTAGCTCATCTCATTATGTACCACTTATTAAAGGCCTCAGGCGTACCGAAGTTTACTTGTTAACCTGCAGATTTTTGTCCAGTAGAGATGCAAATTTCTGTAGAGTGGAATGGATGAATCCCTAAGATTTATGGCCTGTGGACATAAAACAGCTTTTTTTCCCCTAATCAAACTCAGATATCTTTTCTTTTTTTTTTTTTTTTTTTGAGACGGAGTCTCGCTCTGTCGCCCAAGCTGGAGTGCAGTGGCCGGATCTCAGCTCACTGCAAGCTCCGCCGCCCGCAAACTCAGATATCTTAACATTTCTTTGTTGTCTATGAATAGAAATGATTTTTTGAACTGGACATTCCATCTTACTAGTTTCCATATTAGTTGAGTTAAGTAAAATATTTTATATTTGCTGAGGGTCATGATTTTATATGTGTCTGTTTTATATTTGAGGAGAGTCATGATTTTACCTTTTTGAAAATTATCTGTGAATGAAACAAAATAACCTTTAAAATTTTTCATGTTACTTTTTATCATATAATTCCACTCAAACCACAAGTATTTCAGGGAAAATGTCCATTTGGGAATTCTTCACATTTTGTGAGGGTAAAGAGAGAACAGCTTTGCCACTGCTGTTTCATGAGATGAAAAAAAATTACACACGCATAGGACAACATCCACGGTCTTCTATCTGGACATAATTTTGTTGTTGTTGTTTTTGAGACAAGGTCTCACTCTGTCGCCCAGGCTGGAGTGCAGTGGCATGATCACTGCTCACTGCAGCCTTGAATTTCTGGGCTCAAGTGATCCTTCCACCTCAGCCTCCCAGGTAGCTGGGATTACAGGCACGAGCCACCACGTCTAGCTAATTTTTGGGGTTTTTTCTGGAAAAACAAGGTTTCGCCATGCCAGTCGAACTCCTGGGCTCAAGTGATCCTCCTGCCTTAGACCTGCTAGCTGAGATAACAGATGGTACCACAACTGGCTAATTTTTAAATTTCTTTGTAGTTTTTACTTTTTTTTTTTTTTTTTTTTGTAGAGACAGGGTCTCACTCTGTGGGCCAGGCTCGTCTCAAACTCCTGGGCTCAAGCAATCCTCTCGCCTTGGCCTCCCAAATTTCTGGAATTACAGGCACGAATCCAATAATAGTTTTAAAATAAAATTTCAGATGCACTCTTGAACCTCAGAAGTTCATTGTGTGGTGTGATATTTGGTTTTGGCCTTGCCATATATTTATCACATGATCGTGACACCCAGCCAGCATTTGAATAAAATGTATATTTTTGATGGCAATTAGTATTTTAGCATATGGACCTATCACAATTTACCCAAATGCAGATGGGTGGCCATTTTTATTACTCTAAACATTCTTGCACACACAGCTTTGCGTATTTGCTCAATTATTTCTTTATAATAAAGTTCTAAATGTGGATTTGTTAGGGACAGAAGACATGCCCATTTTTAGTGTTAATGCATTTTTGCCAAATTGCCCTTAGAAAATGCTGTACCAATTTATACTTTCACTGGAGGCATCTGACAATAAGCTCTTACCCACAGCCTTCCCAGTGAGGGAGACTATCACGTGCATTCATCTTTACCAATCTGACAGAGGAAGAAAAGGAACATGGTCTTTTTTAACCACTGAGATTGGCTCTCTTTTCATGTTTGTATTTCTTTTGTGAATGAGCATTTATGCTCTTTGCACAAACTTGTTTCTACATGAAGAGATTAATCTTTTAAGTATGGAGTTAAGAACATGGTTCTAATTTTTTATATTTAGAAGTCTGTTCTCTTTCTCTCTCTTCCTTTCTCTCTCCCCCCCACCCTTCCTCTCTCTTTCTCTCTCACACCCACACAGAATTTATATAGAAATAAACATCTTCGTGCATAAAATTTGTTTTGTATTTAGGATTTTTTCCATAGGATAGAATTTCAGGAGTACTGTTATACTTGGTTCCAGACTACAATATTTTTAGGCTCTTCATTCATAGGGAAAAATTAATAAAGCACAATTTGTGATGTTCAGTTGTACCTTTTTAACCAAGTCCTTCCAGATCAATACTTTTCTCCATTTAAAAATATTTTGGTTGAATTTGTAAGCAATGAGCAATATGTCATTTCTGCTCATAACAACCAGTTCACCATTTATTTGATTCAGTTGCATATTTATGCAATTTAAATGCTGACAAAGTTGTCATTAAAATTGGTTGACTTACACTGAGGATTTTTCAACAGTTTAGTTTTTATCACAGTCTTATCACCTTGCAGCTGTTATTATGTTCAAGGCTGTTTTAGTGGAAAATGGCAGACTTTACTGAACACTCAGATGCCTAGCACTGTGTGTATTGCAAATGTTAACTCTCTGAATCCATACACCACCACAATGAGTTAGAAATTATCTCCCTTTTGTGGTAAGGAAAAATAAAACCCAGAAAGGTTTAGCAACATGTCTAAAGCCATACACCTCATAAGTGGTGGAGATTAGATCCTTTTTAATTTTCCATTATGAAGAATCTCAAACATACATCAAAATTAAAAAACTACAATGAATGACCATATTTTCAACAATCATTAACATTTTGCTATTGCTTCCTCTCCCTGAATATTTTTGCTGAGCCATTTCAAATTAAATTGCAGATATCATGACATTCCACTCTGAAATATTACAGCATATACCTAAAAAATTTTCCTCCATATCCTATTCCATTATTGCACCTAACAGAAACAACGCACTGGTATTATCTATCATCTAGTCCTGATTCAGATTCTTGGATTGACTCCCAAATGTCTCTTACAGTTTTTGTTTTTCCAAACCGGAATCCAGTCAAGGAACATTAATTGCATTTAGTTTTTATGTCTCTAAATCTGTCTCTCTCTTTTTTTTTTTTTGAGAAAGAATCTCACTGTATTGCCCAGGCTGGAGTGCAGTGGCGCGATCTCTGCTCACTGCAACCTCCACCTCCCAGGTTCAGGCAATTCTCCTGTCTCAGTCTCCCAAGTAGCTGGAATTACAGGTGTGAACCACCATGCTCAGCTAATTTTGTATTTTTTTAGTAGAGATGGGGTTTCATCATGTTGGGCAGGCTAATCTCTAACTCCAGACCTCAAGTGAGGCCCACGTTGGCTTCCCAAAGTGCTAGGATTACAGGCATGAGCCACCGCATCCGGCCTCTAAATCTCTTTTAATCTAACCAATCCCTCTACACATTTTTTTATGACCCTGACTTTTTGAAAAGACAAGGAGTGCTATAGTGCAGGGTCCCCAATCCCAGGGCCACGAACAGGTACTGGTCTGTGGCCTGTTAGGAAGGGGGCCACACACAGGAGGTGAGTAGCAGGCAACTGAGCAAAAGGCTTTTTCATCTGTATTTACAGCCATTCCCCATTGCTCTTGTTACTGCCTGAGCTCCGCCTCCTGTCAGATCAGTGACAGCATTAGATTCTCATAAGAGTGTGAACACTATTGTGAACTGCCTGTGTGAGGGATGTAGGTTGTGCGCTCCTTACAAGAACCTAATGCCGATGATCTGTTACTGTCTCCCATTGGCCCCAGATAGGACCGTCTAGTTGCAGGGAAACAAGCTCAGGGCTCCCACTGATTCTACATTACGGAGAGTTGTATAATTATTTCATTGTATATTGAAATGTAATAATAGAAATAAAGTGCACAATAAATGTAATGCGCCTGAATCATCCCTGAACCACCCCTTGCCCCTGGTCCATGGAAAAACTGTCTTCCACAAAACCAGTCCCTATTGCTAAAAAGGTTGGGGACTGCCGCTCTAGTGTTCTCACATTCTGATCTGTCTGATGTAACTTCTTGGGATTATTTAACTTATTTCTCTAGAGCTTGTGATTCCTATTAAGCGAACTTTAGATCTTAAGATTCAAGTTAAACATTTTTGGTGAGAATATTTCACAGGAGTTGCTGTACACTTGGCCGGGTGCAGTGGCTCACACCTGTCATTCCAGCACTTTGGGAGGCCGAGGTGAGCAGGTCACTTGAGGCCACGAGTTCAAGATCAGCTTGGCCAACATGGCAAAACCCTATCTCTACTAAAAATACATGGGCATAGTGGCACGCACCTGTAATCCCAGCTACTTAGGAGGCTGCAGCATGAGAATCGCTTGAACCTGGGAGGTGGAGGTTGCAGTGAGCCAAGATCGCACCACTGCACTCCAGCCTTGGAGACAGAGTGAGACTCTGTCTCAAAAAATAAAAGTTAAAAAACTAAAAAGAAGAACTGCTGTACACTTCATAGTCATCATAATAAAGTCCTAAGGGCACATGTCTGGCTACCCTATTATTAGTGATACAAGGATGGGTCACTGACAGCTGGGTCCCTCCATTCTACAGGTACATTTGTTCCTTTGTGACTAACAAGTTATCTATGAGTCAGTTTTTGGTATCATGTAAAAGGGGTAAAATGAAATTTTTTAAAGTAAGCATTTCAATTTAATGTTTTTAGTTCTAATTGATGATCCTTGCCAGAATCAATTATTTCAACATCACTCTCATTATCAGCTTTATCATTACTTTGTTAACTATAATAGCGTACTTTTGAAGAATACATTCTCTGGAAGAAGAATACATTTACTATGTAGCATACTTCAAGAAGAGTGGTTTTGTTTTGTTTTGTTTTGTTTTGTTTTGTTTTGAGTTGGAGTTTCGCTCTTGTCGCCCAGGCTGGAGTGCAGTGGCGCAATCTTGGCTCACTGCAACTTCCATCTCTCGGGTTCAAGAGATTCTTTTGCCTCAGTCTCCCAAGTAGCTGGAATTACAGAAGCATGCCACCACACCCAGCTAATTTTGTAATTTTAGTAGAAACAGGGATTCATCATGTTATTCAGGCTGGTCTTGAACTCCTGACCTCAGGTGATCCACCCTCCTTGGTCTCCCAAAGTGCTGGGATGACAGGTGTGAGCCACCACGCCCAGCCTAAGAAGAGCTATATTTCATCAATGGGATGAACTACAGTATTTCTGAAAGAGGAAGGAAATGTACTTACTTCTTTCCTTATAACTTCTAATTTTCTGAAAAGTTGGTCACTTCCATAGGTGACAAAGGAGTTTTTCAGTGGTTGGTGATAGATTTTGTTTTGATTATTTTTCCTTGATTATCTCTATTGACTCATGGATTTTTATGTACAGTAATATATATTTTATATTCAATATTTTTTAACGCTTACTGAAAATGATATTTAAATAGTGGTTTGTCTGAATTCCAAACATAGTGTTCTTTTACTATATCATCATTACTGTTGGAGACTCAAACCTCTAAGTCTGACTCTCACCCATAAAATGTCTCACAGTGGGAAAATTCCACAGAAGATGGAAGCATCATCTTGTATTTAGCTAAAGTTCGAATATTATTTTTAAGGCTTGTGAAGGTGAAAACAGGAAGATGTAGGATATGGCTCTGTGTTTTTAAATCCTAGCTCTAAATAGCCTAAGCATCAATGATTCTTCAAAAACTGGAAAAGTAAAACACAGATCCATGAAGCAATTAGTCATAATCACAAACAAACACACAACTAGAATTAAGAGTCTTTGGGCAACAGAGCATGACAGTTAAGAATCATTTCTGTATTACATTTGAGATCTTAAGATAATACATTTAGCTTCATATTGGGTGCTCATCTTAATTTTTAATTGTTTACCCTTTATAAATAAATCAAAATTTCAAAAAGCATCTAAAGAAGGGATTTCATAAGTAAAAGTCTGATTATTATAAGAACTCAATAATTCAGAATAACTTGTATGTTTGCAGAGGCCAACAGGAGGAATGGGAGATATAAATTACTGGAAAAGCTGATTGGAGAATTTAAAGAAAGAATGAAACTATACGTATCTTTAAAATATGCCAAGTATGTTGTCTCATTTTTATTATATACTATCAATTAACATCATTATTATATTAAACTACCAATTTATTTAGCCAACCTGTCTTTCCTTGAAAATCCATTTAATCCTCTTACCATATAAAAATTAACTTTAGCTCAATCTATGTTGATCAGTATAATTTGAGTTTTAACTATGTTTTCATTATTGAAGGACTTTAGAAGCCTAAAACAGTTCTCACGATAGCTAAAAATTCACTGTTAGGCCATATTTTAAGTCTGTATATGTTATGCAATTTCTAAAATTTTAAACTAACTTTATATGTTTTCAAATGTTTGTTCAACATGTATTACAAGTGAGTTCTTCCTGAAAAAAATTAACATGTTTCTTTTACATATTAATCACACTTCCTCAGACCTCAGAGTTCTGACCATCTTAATAAGTATTTACCTTCAAAATGAAATTTAGAGTAAGTACATTTTCAAACCATTGTCATTGCTCTGCCTACATACGCAAATCAGTGTCAATTCCTGCAATAATTTAGAGGCTTCAACAAAACCTCACCTTGAGTTAAAGAACAGAATAAATGTATGACTGTACCAAAACAGAACATATATACTGAAAAAATATCTATCTATTGTATATCAATAAAAACAATGAAAAAAGCAACAAAAGAGCAATAAAAATATTTTTAGAATACTGATATAGGGGTTTTGGCTAGTATAGAGTTTTTAATTTAGTCTTAGATACAAAATTTTATTATAATTTCTGAAAAGTACAAATTGCAATGTACCTTCTCTGATTTCATTGAACCAATCAAAAGAGTTATTTCAGGCTGGGCAAGGTGGCTCAAACCTGTAATCCTAGCACCTTGGGAGACCCAGGTGGAAGGATCTCTTGAGCTCAGGAGGTTGAGATTGCAGGGAGCCATGATCATGCCAGTGCAGTCTGGCCTGGGTGACAGAGTGAGACCTAGCCTTAAAAATAAATAAATAAATAAAATAGCACAGGTTTTTGAAAAAAGCACCAGGAAAGCACAATCTAAGCCAGCCTGGGCAACATGGCAAAACCTCATCTTTACAAAAAATATGAAAAAATTATCCCGGTGTGGTGGTACATGCCTGTAGCCTTAGCTACCCGGGAGGATGAGGTGGGAGGATCACCTAAGTCTTGGGGGTGAAGGCTGCAGTGAGCTGTGATTGTGCCATTGTGCCCTGAGCAGCAGAGTGAGATGTCTCAAAAGAAAACAGCCAAAAAAGAATTATTTCAAACACACCTTTCTGCCTTTAATGCCACTGCTATCCCACAGTAATAAATATTTTATCATTCTTTTAGTCTGGGCATTTAAAAACATAAACAAAAAAACATTCTGACTTTAGTTAGCTTCAAAGATTCTCCAGAACATTACATATAGATATGAGCTCTTCTAAAATAATGTTGTTTTTTATTAAGTCTAGGATTCATTTCTCTTTAAGAAAAGTAAAAAGAAATTCTCCAGTTAAAGTGGGCCAGGTGCGGTGGCTCACGCCTGTAATACCAGTACTTTGGGAGGCTGCAGCAGAACTGCTTGAAGCCAGGAGTTCAAGACCAACCTGGGCAACACAGTGTGGCCACGTCGCTATAAAAAAAGTTTTTTTTTAATTAGCCAGGTGTGTCAGTGCACGCCTACAGTCCCAGCTTCTTGGGAGGCCAAAGTGGGAGGATCGCTTGAGCTTAAGAATTCGAGGCTGCAGTGAGCTATGATCGCACCACTGCACTCTTGCCTGGGTGACAGAGTGAGACTTGGTCTCTAAAAATAAATATTTTTTTTAATTTTGAAGAAAAGAATTTTTCTACAATTCATAGCTTCACTAAGCTGAACGTGTTATTTTTTCCCTATGAAAAATAAGACTGAATATTTCTATGTCTGTAGTAACTCCTAAAAGAGTTGGAAAGGTTCTCTGAAAGGAGATGGTTAGACACCCAACAGAGCAAAATACGATTCCCATAGACAGGATTCCAGTATCCAGAATCTTTTAAAAATGTGAGCAAAGCCAAAACCAAGAAAATCACTCGAAATTTGTTCACTAAGATGCCCTAACTTCTTTAAATCCCCAGGGAAAGGCAGCAGATGAGATAATGTCTACAGATAAAAGGGACAAAAGCACATTCTGTCGATGGCTATGGTTCAAAGACGGTCTTAGGAGCATAGTTCCTACCAAGACCACCATTTGCTTAACCTATTGCTCCTGGTGCTTTGAGAGGCTCTTCCCCCAACATCAGTGAAATCATAGAGACAGGTGTGCTTGAGAAACAGATAAAGGAAATAGCAGAAGTTTTTGAAGAAAAGCACCACGAAAGCACAATCTAAAATAGGAAATATTCCTGATGTCTCACAAAACACTAACATTATTTGGGAGTTAGGGGCTGAATGCGGAACTCATATCCTCAATATTAGTTTGAGCTAGAATATTAACCAGGGGGGCTTTAGAGACAGGTAAGAAAAACTAAAAACTGAATTATGTCCTAATATCAGGATTCTGTACAATAGTATGAAATACCAAACAAGGAGATATAATAAGCCTTTTTTTTTCCCTTTAGGAAGTATGAAAAGACAGAAAGCAAAAAATTTATCTATTCAGGATTCTTTTTCTTTGCACCAAGTTGGGTCTAGTTTCTTGATTTCCATGTAAAATATCAAGTTACAATTACCAACTTTCCGGAGCTCAAAGGAAGATTCAAACTGGTGCCCAGCTGCCAGGAGGAGGACCGCATAATTAATTCCTGACTGTAGTGTTGGCTCAGATTCAAATGCCTTTTTGAACCTATAAAAAACCACAAATGTACAAGTTAACTTTCTCGATCATGAAACCCTGGGTGTGTAATAGCTTCTGTTTGTATAACTCCAATGCCTGAGCAAGTAAAAATATTGCACTGGCCTTCACCCCAGAATCTGGTGTGTTATTAGCACTTAACGCTTCAGAAACTGCTTATCTTTGTCCACAGTTCTATTGCTTTCCCCCACTTAGCTCACCCTCAACCTACCTAGTAACCCTAGTCTTTTAAAAAATCCTGTCTTCAATCATCTACCAGAAGTATGTGAAGGTGAAAATTTAGTTACAAGGGCACTTGTTACAAGATGAAAAATTACTCTAAATATCCAATATTATACAGTGTAATATGAAATAACATATATTCCAAATGTTAGAAAGCAATGTAGTCATTTATGTTGTGGAAGCATGTTAAAAGTCAGAAGAAAACTAGTGTTTCCAAGTAAAATGTAGCCGTCTACTTGGAAGCCATCATTCAGGGTGTGTGTGTGTGTGTGTGTGTGTGTGTGTGCAATAAACATTTAAAAATGAGAACCCTGCACATATTTTTTAAAGTAGTTTTTTAAAACTCTTAAAAATATACAGAGCACTGAGGAGGTAACATACTGAAATGATCAATTCCATAAGAATGATATAAAAATGAAATAATGTCAGTTATAGGATGAAGTTAAGAAAAGCAGAGATTGTGTCTCTACATACTAATTTTGGCTCAGAGAGTTATAAAAAGATTTTTCTGAATATGCATAAAACTGAGTATCAACCTTTGAAAACACTTCAATATTTAAAAGGACTTCAGTGTTTGGATATTTACTTTATTTTCAAGGTAATACTTCCTAGGATACATTTAAGGGTTTCCTTACATGCATCATTAAACAGGCAATGATAGTCAATATAATTTCACTTAGGGGTATGTAAAATCAGAAAAATAAAATAAATGCCCTAGTGACTAAGAGGAACTGCCTGAGGCCAATGCATGAAAAATGAAACTTTTATGTTTAAAAAAATCATGCTGAAGAAAATATAAGAACTAAATATCTAACAAATGACCATTTGATGATACCAAAAAAGGTTATGTGGGAAGAAATACATTACAATTCCAAGATAAAAGCATTCTCACCTAAGTCATAACTGTGTAAATAAAAGACAGGAATACTAAACATAGTGATAAGTACAATAGTGTATATTGTAGGCACAATACATGTATATTCTTGGCTTTTATACATACTCAAAATTTTCCATAATTTAAAATAAATTAAACATCAAATGAAAACAAAAAATACATTTTTCTGAATATTGAGGACCATGTCTCTTTTTTAAAGGTCTTGCTCTTTAAGTAGAACAGGCATCTCTAAATGGAAGCAAAAATAACTATGAATCTTAACTAGTTGGCTCTGATAGTTATGTACCTATGGAATAAAAAAAAGGTACCACTGCATCACTATAGGTGATTAAAAAGCATATTTTAATGTTTCCAGAAGTATACATGTTTCCATTCTAAAATGAAAGTATATACACCTAGACTACAGATACTCAAAACTATATCAAGGCAAGTCACAACTTACAGGTCAACTTACAAGTCTTAGACTAACATAAGTCTCAAAGTTCTTTGTCTTTGTTCAGAGGCAAGTATAGTGTCCCAACAAAAAGGATTTAGGAGAAGAAAGAAGTAGACACTTCCCTTTCTACCAATTCATATCAAGATACATAATATTTTTCATTAAATACATTATTGCATTTTCCCTGAAACCAAAGAACATGAAAAGTCTCTCTTAAAGATATGAAAAGGAAGAGGCAAAAATGAAGACATAGCAAAATCAATCAATAAATATTGGCGAATATCTCCTATGTGCCAGAACCAACCCAAATGAATATTTGGGTTTATATCTGTTTTTCTGTTGCCACAAACAATATATATTTTTGTATTTTAAATGAAAATATAAATACCAATAAAATTAATAATTCACATTTTTCTCAAGCTCCCCTCCATCCATGAGACTAAATTGAATACCGTATTGAGGAAAAAGTCTTAATGTTTTCTGGAGCTTAAAAGAGCATGTAGGTATATTACAAAAGAAATAAAATCCTGTCATATATCATTAGTATACCACCGCAGGAAGTGGGAATTCTCCCATACTGTAAAAGCAAAGAAGTACAGTATTCTTGGCAGAAAATTGCCAATATCAAAACTATAGAATTTTTGTTTGTTGTTTTTTTGAGATGGAGTTTCGCTCTTGTTGCCCAGGCTGGAGTACAATGACACGATCTCAGCTCACTGCAACCTCTGCCTCCAGGGGTCAAGCAATTCTCCTGCCTCAGCTTCCTGAGTAGCTGGGATTACAGGCATGTGCCACCATGCCCGGCTAAATTTTTGGGTTTTTTTTTTTTTTTTCAGTAGAGACAGGGTTTCTCCATGTTTGTCAGGCTGGTCTTGAACTCCAGACCTCAGATGATCCGCCCACCTTGGCCTCCCAAAGTGCTGGAATTACAGGTGTGAGCCACTGCACCCAGCCAACTATAGAAATTTTTTAAAACTATGTATACCTCTTAACAAAACAATTATACATTTGCAAATTTATACCATGAAAAAATATTAAACATGTAATCAGAAGTTTCATTACAAGGGCATTTGTTACAAGATGAAAAATTACTCTAAATGTCCAATAATACTATAAAGTATAATATGGAACAAAATATTATACAAATATTGGGAACCTACATAGCCATTTATATTGTGGACAAATATTAAATGTGAGGGGGAAAACTTGTGTTTCCAAGTAAGACATAGTCGTCTACTTGGGAGCCATCACTCCTGCTTCAGTAGCTAGGGGGAAATAAGAACACATATCAAAAACACATTTTTGCGGACACTGGAGATCTATGGAAGCAACAAAAAAATCACTGAAATAAATTCCAAAGAGGGAAGTGGCCTTCCAAGATGAGCTAAATTGCCGTTGTCTTTCATGGGGGCATTTGCTGATTCTGATCCTAAGATTAGGCTTGGGCTCGGCATGGGCAGAAAAACTCTGTCTATTTTAAACTTTACCAAGGAAAAGAAAAACTAGTGGATTTCTTGATAATTGCGTGGTTTGGCATGACAGAATGAAACCTGGAAGAGTCCCAAATGTGTGGCTGTTTTCTTCACGGGACATTCGTTGAATGCTGAGTTGTACAGGAGGCTAGGGCGTGGAGTAGAGCTGGGATGACAGAGTGAAATCTCCTGAGTGTTTAGGAGAAAAGTCCCACTAGGGAAAGGAGTCTACAACAACCATAGGAAAAAAGTCTCCCCTTTAAGAAATTTACCACATTTTGGGCTGGGCACACTGGCTCCCAGCCCTTTGGGAGGCCAAGGTAGGTGGATCACTTGAGGTCAGGAGTTCAAGACCAGCCTGGACAACATGGTGAAAAACATATTTCTACTAAAAATATAAAAATTAGCCAGGCATGGTGGTGTGTGCCCCTAGTCCCAGCTACTTGGAAGGCTGAGGCAGGCAAATCACTTGAACCCTGGAGGTGGAGGTTGCAGTGAGCCAAGATTATACCACTGCCCTCCTGGGCAACAGAGAAAGACTGTCTCAAAAAAATAATAATAATAAAATAAAGAAAGAAAAAAGAAAAAGAAAAAAGAAATCTATCAAATTGTGGAGAATAAAGAGCTAAACACAAAACTCCTAAGGACAGATATGAAATATCCCACAGTATTTAATGGATAAGAAGATAGAAATCTGCCTGCCTATCAACTAGAAGTTCAAGAGGGTCACAGCTAACAAGCAGAGACAAAACAGAAACAGACAAGGTCAATGAAAACAAAAACCCAGACCCAACCCGACTCAACTGCATTTGTTGAGGTAATCAGCTTCTTACCCTATCTGGCTAACAGAGGAAAGGGAAAATCTCTGTGAGTGAAAATAAAATCATCTCCAAGTCTCAATAATTTTTTAATACAAAATGTCTGGGATACAATAGAGAAATATGAGACATGCAAAGAGCCAGGAAGTTGTGACCAATAAACAAGAGTAAACACAGACAAGAAAAGCTGACCTACAGATAATTCGGATACTGGAGTTTATAGACAAGGACTTTAAGATAATTATGACAAATATGGTAAAGAATATAGAGAAAAAGATAAAATGGATAAAAGATATAAACAACTTCAAAAGAGAATCAGAATCAAAGAAATCACATAATCTAGCACCAAAACATACAATACCTGAAAACAAGAATTCAGTGTATGGGCTTACAAGTTAATTCAACAAAGTGGAAAAACAGTTTTGGTGAACTACCTTCTATGTCAATAGAAGGTATCTAAACTGAAGCAGAGATATAGAAAAAAAAAGAAAAAAGGAAGAAAACACACACACACACAATAAAGCATAAGAAACAGAGGAGACACAGTTAAATGGTCTAACCTATGTATCACTGTAGCCCCGGAAAGAGAAGAAAGAGAATATGGAGCACAAGAAATATGTGAGATATAATGGATAAAAACATTTCAAAACTGATGAAAACATCAACCCACAGATCCAAGAAGCTCAGCAAAACTCAAGCAGGATAAAATAAGATAATTATAGTCTAAATGCCAAAACATGTTACCAAAATCCAAAAACACAGTGGAAAATCTTTTAAAATCAGCCAGAGAAAAAAGATACATTACTTTCAAAGGAGCAATAAAATTGACAGTAGACTTTGCCATACAAACTCTGGAAGCCAGAATACAACGTAGCGACATCTTTAGAGTAATAAAAGAAAAAAAAAAGCCTAAAAAAGATATTTTCAGACAAAAACTGGGAACTAGTTGCCAGCAGATCTGAACTATAAAAAAATACTAAAAGTGCTTCAGACTAAAGGAAAATGATTTCATTTGGAAGCACTGAACTTCAGAAAGAAAGAGCATTGGAAAGAGTAAATATGTGACAAGATCTAAAATATAAAAATTATTTAAAATCTATTGATTATTTAAACTGCTCCAAGTTTCTTTCTTTGTTCAGGAAGCAGTA